TAACGACACCGCACGGCCAGCATTATCGTTAAGGTTAGGGTTAGAATTAGGAAATTAGATCACGTGTTGCGGTGTCGATAGCAATTCCCATCCAAATTACGATCCCGGTCACGTTTTAGGTCACGTTTTCGGGATCTTTGCGCAATGGTTCCAATCCGGTTTACCTCTAACACTATTGAGTATCAGTGAAATTGACGAAACCCCTAAAAAGTAGATGTTTACAAATTTCTCAACGACTACGTATTAACCATCTAACAGTGTTAACGTATGCAAATCTCATAACTATGGCGAAAATTGAGCAATATAATTGTATTGATTTATTGTGTCAAAGAAATAATTATGGATGTGTGCCAATGTATATCCAGGTCCTTGCAGTGCTGAAGCAGCCGCGAAGCCTAATTCTGAGGTTCATGAACTGCCGAAGCAGCTGTGAATAGGGTATCTGGCACGCATAAATTTATTTGGCATGCCATAGGCATACCTGTGCCACTTTGTACTATGTTTTTTACTAATAAACTATTTTGTTGCCAAATGGCATGCCCGTGCCTCTATGCCAGGTACTCTAGCTGTGAAGCCTAACTAGGAGGTTCTTGCACTGTCAAGACAGCCGTAGAGCCTCTTCTACTTATCATGTAAAACTGTAAAACATACACTACAGCGAAACAGATGTGCCACTAGGGGGGTATGGGATGGAGATAGAGCAAGCTTTAACCCAAGGCGAGCGATAGCGAGAAGAAAGATAACTCCTTAACTAATCTAATACTTCTTAAATAATTATCATACTGATATTAAAGCTCTCACATACCTACATAGGAAATCCATACCCCCTATCTCTGACCCATATTTCACTCTAACATATTAATCACGCTAACACCCTAATGTCATATACAACATCATCAAGCCAAGAAAAACCTGCATTAACCCGCAATCTAATGACTAATTCCTAGAAGGCCACATAACAAAAAGTGCACATGATCTAAAGTCCTCTAATTTCGCAATAATAATCGCTCTATCACTACGTTGGCAAGTTTCTTGTGTTTGATCATTTTGAAATATGTTACAAGACCCTATTAAATGTCACCTCATAGGGTACTTTTTTTGGGATGATATATTTAACTGAAAGAATTGAATTGTGTTAGAGATGGGGAAAATGCACAGTTTATAACAACATGCGCATAAATGCGCATTAATGCGCACTAGTGTTTTCTGGCTAAAATAATTTTCAAAATCTCGCCAACAAGAAATAATTTCGGGTCAACTCGCAAAATATATAGTAATTTTGCATTTTTTGACATTCGAAATATTTCTCCAGCATGAAATCATTTTGGCCAAGTGAAATATTTCGGATTCTCCCGAAACACTAATACGAACGAATTGTTTCATGCGCATGATTTCACATGATAAAAAAAAAAAGCTCGAGAAGAGAGAAATCTTAATGGGATAAAATGCGCATGAAACGGAATCATGCGCACCATGAAACCCATCTCTAATTGTGTTACATAATATGACTTTAAATTTGAAAGTTTTTTCATTTTCCTAATTTATGAATAATAAATATTTTTTTGCTCTGTTTGTAATACAGTACAATATCTCTATTTGTTTTTCTTTAAATACAAATCTGTTTATTTTACGCGTCGCCTCAACTAAAACTCACTTGTAACTTATATTATTCCAATCACACTATATGTCCTACAATATTGTAACTGGTGTTCGAACTTACTTTATTCTCATATAAACCAAATGAAAATATAAAAATATTTATCGTTATAATTAATTAAGAACTTGTAAATATAAAATTAGTGTTTTGAGAACACATCAAACTATTATAGCTATAGACACAGGGGTACTATAAACTTTGAGTAGCGGTAGTTAACAATCCACCAAATTAGTCAAATTTTATTCTATATAATATTTATTCAGAATAAACCACCTCAATGTTTTAAATTATCAATAATTTATCCGCTTTCATTATATAATAATTCTAAAATTTTATACGTTCTGCAATGTGCGCAATAATATTCTGCTTTGTTTGATGACACTTTAAGCAAAATATACGTACGCGTAAATATTAATTTTGCAGTTTAGTACAAACTTTAAATAATGTTATCTTGGCAATTTCGATATTCACTAATTAAATGTTCTTTGACCATTATAATTTTATTATATGCGTATTAGCACATAAATTGAAAGTTAAAACTATAATGTATTACGAGTGGAACAAATTTAAATTTTTTAATTAAATTTTAACTCTATATTAATGTACTGTACCAAACACGAACCTAGTATTTTAGACAATGAACCTCCAAAATTTTAATCAAAAATACTTAAATTCCGTTCTCGTAATCCTAAATAGTTAATAGTTAGGTTCAATTCGACCTATTAGCTGGTTTTTTTTTTTACCATAACATTTATTAATTAGCGCGTAGATAAAATTTATAAATCGTTATAATTTAATATTTATTTCAGTAATCAAAGTAAAAAGTATTTACTTTGTTAATATCTATTTTAAATACTGTAACAGAAAAATCTATGAATTAGTAAATGGTTTAATATAATCTTCCCAATAACTTGGTTTTCCAATACAATTTGGTGCAGCCCTAACGGTATTAAAATATTCTAAATTTAAAAAATATAAATACAAGGATATAAGTAAAAATATTTAAAAATACGTATAAAAAAAAATAATAAAAAAATATATATATATTCCAGAATTTCAAAATTTATGTCCAATTCTTACAAAATTAGGTCAATTATGGTCAATTCATTTAATATATGAATCATTAAAAGAATTTTTAGAAGAAGGTTATTTTGAAAAAGAACAAGTTATTATTGTAAGAAATGCTTATTTTGGAATGTGTAAAGAATTAAGAAAAGAAATTATACCTTTGGTTGATGCTTGGGGATATCCGGATTTTATTTTACAAGCTCCTTTGGGAAAGTTCGATGGCGATGTTTATCAAGGTATTTTATTCTTATTATAAATAAAATATCTTTTTAAATATATATATGTTTGACTAATATTTCATTTTTTATATGTATGTTTAAATATTTTTTTAAATATTTGGTTTATTTTACTCATATCCGCGTATATATATTTCTTAATTTAGAATATTTGTCAGATGTAGGTGATATAAGTATTGAGTTTCTA